ACAAAATAATTTGTTCCTCAAAAAAGTACAACCATCTTTATTAATTTAACTTTACATATACTTACTTTACATTCATATATTTTAGTTTTTTCTTATTTTTTATCAAAGTAGGAAATAATCTGGTCATCTATGAAAGTAATTAACTAAAAGTAATTCATAATTATTAGCTTATCATTGTATTCCATTGAATTCCTGTATTGTTGTTATAGAGTAGTGAAATTTTGTTCTGTATTTAAAGGGTTAGTTCACCAAAAAATAAAAATTGTCATCATTTACTCATCCTTATCAGTCCAAACTTGTGTGACTTTCTTCTTTGGAACGTAAAAGATGAAAATGAAAAAAATTTGGTGGACTATCGCTCTAACTGACTTTAAATAGCATTTTAATTACTTTAAGTTCTTATGGATTCTTGAAAAAGTCATGGAAAATCTATGGAACTTCATTGTTCAAAAGGTGTAGGAATTCTTTAGGTCTTTTGCAACTCTACGTTGGGCGATATAGCTAAAATATCTTTAAAGCTAAAATTGTACCTGTCGGTTATAGTTGCCAGCATGTAAACATTCACCTTTTCAAAGTTGCAGCCCATTCCCCAAACCCAAGCAACGAAAGAGCCTCTAGAATACCCCCCCCCCCCCTCCCCTCCAGAATATCTTTATACAACTGAATGAGTCATCATCTTATGTCTTTAGATTAATGAGGCTGTGTGTGTTTGTGTGTTGTAGTCTCAGTGACCTTTAGTTTTATTTAAAAGCCTTTGATAGTGAGTCACATTCAGCTGTCCTGGCTAACACAAACACACGGCCGTTCATGGATGTCATGCACAAAAAATGGACTTTAATAGGACTCTTGTTTTGTTTTGTGCTAGCACAGTTTTTTTTTTTTGTGTGTTTTTTTTTTTTTTTTGTGGAGAATTTTTACTCCTGCGGTGGGGTAGTCATGATACCAACGGTTCAGTAGTTTATGATAAAATGGAAAAGCTATTGAACACATTCTTTTAGTTCAATATTAATACTCCATGCTCAGTACTATGGTGCTGTTGAATGACTACATTTATGTATCACCTAATTCTTTATTTAGAGCTAAAGATATTTTCTACCCTTAAACTTGAACCCTTCTGATTTTTTTAAATTTTCATTAAGACATTGTTTAATATGTTCATGAAGCCGCTCTCCAGCTGGGAACCACTGACCGCCTCCCACAGTGTAGGTGATTTCAGGTTGTGCAACCCTTGTGGGGGGACATTTGTTCAAGACAATGTAAGCAAAATCTCTTGAGTTGAGTTTTTGCTTCCAGGGAATGCAGAGAGACTGAGGGATTTTATCTCTTCATTTTAATCCCTCCATCCTCTCTTTATCATTTTCGTCTGTTCCCCTGTGCAATGGCTTTGCTTTCCTGTGCAGCAACTAATTTTACGCACCTGCTTTATTTTTTGTTTATGTTTTCCTTTCCATTTTAGATTGGAATTTATGTCTCACTGTGCTTAATGCCTTCTCCTTGCTTTCTCTTGTCTCTAACGTTTCCTGTGTTTCTCTCTCGTCTCGTTCTGATTAAGGGTGAGCTATAGTCTAGCTTATTAACTCTGACAGTAATGGACAATTTTCTTGACCTTTTCTAAAAAGTTCCCTGTGTGTGTGCGTAGAGAGTCTGAAGGCTCATGAGATCTCCATCTGTGTGGCTATAATCTTAATGGTGCTGAGGATATTCTTCTGGCTCTGCTGTTCGTACCTTTTATAACTTGACAATTATTGTACAGTTAATAATTAAAATGTGGGAAAAGCTTGAATGCTGAGGATTGTTTGTATGCAGCGTCCAAAATGTGCTTTTCTGGCAAAACCTGCGGTTAGTTAAAATTTGTCGAGCATAAATATTTCTTGCCCGCCATGAAACAGCATTGTGCATTGTTTTCTTTTAAAAAATAACAATGGTATTATTTAGCTGTCAATCACAGCATCCTTTGTTTCTTTGTGAAATGGCGCCTCACATTTTTGTTTCAATGGCTCAATGCGAGGTTTTATAATATGTGCTCCTGGAACAAAAAAAAAAAGCTTATAATTGTAAGTTAAGGTAAAAGTTGTTAGAAGATGTGGACAGCCATAGGTTGGAATCTGACACGTGATGACAGAGCCAGTCAGGATTTCTATGATCATGCAAAACCTGGAAATAGTCCGGGCCAGTTACCATGGTGACTGTTCCCTGCATCAGCACTCATGAAGGATATTTAAGCTCTGAGGTCACTGTACATTCACACTACCCACACACCCTTTCTCCTGTATCCCAAACAAATGCTTTTGTTTTGACTTACATAATACCTTATTATCTAGTATTTGCATTGGATTCCTCTGATATGAAACGTTCTCTCAGTAATTATATGGAAAACTAATAGTATGAAATTCTGAACATTAGTGGCCAAATATGTGTCCATATTTACCGTGAATGGAGCTGTGCTACTTAAAAATACACAAAAAGATGAATAAATAATAATAATATTGTAACATGCTGGAGAAAGCAGGCAAAGGCGAGGATATATTTGCAAGGCTTTAATGAAATAACACATAGAACAGGGACAAAGAAATAAAATCACAAGGACCGAATTAGAAGCAACCATGTACAACAACTGACAAAGTAACAAGTGAAACACAAGGGCTATAAATACACAGGGGCAAACAAGCTTAAAGTCCCAAATTGACCATACTTTGAATGCCTAAATTGATCGTTTTGTGGCAATTTTTGAACAATTCATCCATGCAAGTCAATCCACACAAAAACATTTTTTGGCTTTTTCTTTAATCAAAATCTGAAAATGCCCCTCCCTTCAGGACCTTCCCGGATGACGTAGGTTTGACAGTTTGGGTGTCTGCTTCACATCAGTAACCACGCCCGAGGCGAGGGGGTGCATTTTTGGTCGTGGTTAGTGAGTTACACGCAGGTTACAATCATAACGGTTAAGGTTGTAGCAGTAATAGCAAATAAAAATAGTTTTATAATTTGAATTAGTGTTACACCTACTTTTCAAGATCCAATCAGGAGCTAGTTGAAAAAAAAATCCATGCCCACTTTTTTTGCCTCATTTAGTATTCCGTTTCACTCGGAAATATGTCACAACACTGAGAAAATCTGTTTGCAACTTCCGGTTCACGGGGACTTTACTGTAAAAAAATATTGTAACCTGGTTGCCTTAAAATTTTAAGTTGATTGAACTGGAAAAAGTGAGTTAATACAATGAAGGAGATTAATTTAATCATCAGAAACTCAAAATAATAAGTTATCTCAACTAAATAAATTATTTAAGTTGATTTGACAATGTTGTTGAAAAATGTTGTGATGATGAATCTTTTTAAAAATATTTTTTTACAGTGAATGAGGAAACAAGACACATCTTGGTAAGACTACATAGGACTACAAAACTTAGCACAAGACAGGAAATGACAAAAGTCCACACAAGACAAGTGGAACACAAGACAGGAATCATGACAAATATTGTGAAATATTATTACAATTTAAAATGACTGCTTTCTATTTTTATATTTTTAACACATCATTTATTCCTTTGATGGCAAAGCTTAATTTTCAGCATGAAATCAGCAATAAAATCATTTAATAATCATAAAATATACATGATCCTTCAGTTTTGCTGTTTAATATTTTTATGAAAAGCATAATTTGTGTGGGGGTTTTTTTTTCATTCTTAGATGAATAGAAATAAATGCATTTAAATATTTTGTCATTTTTGATCAATTTAATGCATCCTTGCTGAATGACGGTATTCATTTCTTTAGAAAATCATTCTGACCCCAAACTTTTACTTTTAATATAACTCATTTAAAATCAAGTTTGAGTGGGGGAGCTGTTGTATCTGAATTTATAAAGAAGAAAATAATGAGTAATGCAATGTAAATAATGAAGGACTTTGGGTTCTGGTTTGGTGTTAAAAGTGTCGGGTCGGGTCACAGGGCCTCGTTTATGTGCCAGGCTTGGTCTTTAATCCCAGTACAGACCTCTGATCTTGGAACGCATCCTTGGTGAAAACAGGAAGAGATAATAAAGTAAGGCCTTGTCAAGTCTATTTTATTTTCTCCCAAATTACATTTTATGTTGTTCCCTTTTTGACACTTCATTTTCACCGGGTTCACTGTTAACCTTTATTTAAAAGAAATGCACAGATTATTACACAAGACGTGCTGGTATACAACACTTGTATTGTATTATATATACAATAATGTTTTAATCAAAATGTTCTTTTTGAATCATGCACACTTAACTCCAAAATGGAATTGTAATGGTTAAGTTTATTTCTTGCTTTGTTTTGGGCACGGGCCATTAATGTGTCTTCTTTCCTCAGCATTAGGCTGTGTTGACCAAAACAACTCAATAGTATTGAACAAAAAACATACTCAGTAACTCCACTGAGCGAAATAGGATTTGAGGAAAGTGGCTAAAAAGAAAGATTAGAGTGGGATTAATTTAGTGAGAAAGAGAAGAGCATTTTGTTACATGAATTATGGGGAGATATGTTCTATAATGAGAACGACATTATGATATACAGTATATTTTTTTTCTACACTGAGCCAAACATGATTCACCACTGTAAATAGAGGTTGAGACACACACTAAATCTTTTTTAGGACACTGAGCTCTGGTGTGTGTGCACGCGCATCACATGTCAACAGCAAGTATACTGAATTATCTGTCTAACACCCATTTGCTGGTTTCGATAGACTCCCTGACAGATAGCTTTGATTGGAGCAGCTTTCACTTTATAGCACTAGCATCTCGTGAGCTTAGAATTATAAGGTTCTATCTCCACTTTTGGTCGAAATTGAGTTTTTGACATAATCTGATCCATTAGGTGTTTATTAATGCCTGTGTGGTGTTATTTTTGTAAAAAAAAAAAAAAAAAAAAAAAAGATTAATAGATAAAGCTATAATAGAAGTTCTCTCCATTTTTTTTTTATTACTAATAGTACATTTTCTCACAGATGTGATTGTGTGTTTTTGTTTAGGACTTCCTGACGGATCTGATGATGTCGGAAGTGGATCGATGCGGGGAGAATGAGCACCTGATTTTTAGAGAAAACACTCTGGGCACTAAAGCTATCGAGGAGTACCTCAAACTGGTCGGACAGAAATATCTGCAAGATGCGCTGGGTAAGAGCTTGTGTGTGTGTGTGTGTGTGTGTGTGTGTTATTTTCTGATATCATATCTGTACCATTTGTTATGACCACCTCCAAGTAACAGGAGTGACAGGACCACCAAAATAAATACATTACATAATATAATTACATACTAGGGGAAATTTTATCAGTTCAAACTGTCTGTCCAGCACAAACACTAGAAACATAAAGACGTTTCCAAAGTATACTTTGTGGTTCCCCGCATTCCTTTTTCGATAAGATTAAATGGCCGTGAAAAAAACAAACATGCACACACATATCCGACCTTCTTTGCTGTTAGCTCATTTTGTGTAGGCCTACGATAAGGCCTGTGTTTATTAATACCTTCTTATTTTAGGAATAAAAAAATTTAAATGTCTGAACTAGCAATTTATCTGCAAAACAAAAATGCACTCTGCAAATTTAACACGTGTATAAATATCGACTTTGGGGGATCTAATAAGGGTACGTGTGAATGTGAGTGAATACACCAAAGAGAGTGCATCTCTCTTTAGATTTGCATTAAGAAGTCATTTGGTGGTGCTGAATAATGTATAGTTGTTTTTCTTAGATAAATGTGACTTGTGAAGTGCTGCTGAATTATTAAACGGTTCACTCCTAAAGACTGACTTAGTCCCTCAAACATCAGAGCCAGAGAAGGACACCAAAGAGAGCAGACTACACCAAATGATTACATAAATGGCATATATGCTCAAAGGATGGACCTTTTGGTCATTTCATCTACTCTAGTTCTCGAGAGATAGAGCAATAAATTACTTCAGCTCATTGTTGTTGTTTTTTCAGTGTCTTGTTGTTCAATTGTTCTAATTCATTTTCAAATTGAGTGACAAGATAACACTGAAAACACCAATCCCAAAGTAAAAACTAAGGTCCATTACGTTTAGTTCTTGTGAAAGTGAGTAATGCTGGAAAAATGAGTCGTTACGTGTTTTCTTGATTGTTCATTGTCACTTCCAAACACATGATTACTTTGGCGAACTAAGGAATTTATTCATTAAATGAATTACTGCAAAAATAGACTGATAGCTAGAACACATTCACACAAACACACTCACACATCCACATTTCTACACAAACCCTCTGAGCTAGACGGCAATTCAACTTCCTTAAGGGATTTGTGGTATTACGTTTCTGTCATTTAGTCTCTTTATTGGCAATTACTAAAAAGCCATTTATATAAGCCCAGATTGCACAAGATGTTCATATTGTATTACATATAATGGTATATCAGTTGATTTTCAAGACATGCTTTATTTTTGCTTTAGCATTGAAGGACTCTTGTTTGACAGCAGATATTGATGATGGGATTTTACCTGCAGGTTATTTGATTAGATTGGATGTTTGAGCGATTAGTGTCATATTTGTGGCCTTGAATGAGTTTTCCTCTGACCTTTCTATCAATTTGGGGTTAACCGACCATAACTATGTGTTTTGTACTGCTTTGTAGTGTGACAACACTGGGAAGTCTGTATCCACCTGCTGCATCCACTGCTGTATGTCCATTGCCAACAAAACTCTGTTCCCATTGCAATAATAATATGTTCCCATTGCAAGTTATAAACTACTTTTCAGAAGTTTTGGGGTCATTTTTATTTTAGGAAATAAATACTTTTATTCAGCAAGGATGCATTGAATTGATCAAAAGTGACTTATAAGTGACACAATATTTTGGGTTAGTCGCATCTGGTTAGTCTCTAAAAGGAAGATGAAGAATGAGGAGTCATCTTCCATTCTGGGTCAGTTGGACGTCCACATGGTTTGTGCTACACTAGTTTGATTTTTCGCTGATGCTTTATGCGCAACGGAACAGAGAGGGAAAAATTGACCAGTACCTGCTCTGAGTCTCTGTGGAGTAGGATCTGGCTTTGCTGTTTGTTTGGGATCGACAAAAAGGTTGTTGTATATTCCCAGGATGGGTTTTCTCATTACTTCTGAGTCAGATAACTTGAGAACTTTCACTAGTTGCGTCATGGCGGAAAGGGGTTCGAATAGCTACAGTATAAGCTCAGGTGTGCTGATGTTCATTCCTGCTAATAATTGAGAGAGTTTTTGTTTGTTTGTATGAAAGATGATGTGGTTTGTACAGCAGGTTCCCTTGTTGACATTTTTTAGGATTCTTTTGCCAAATACAAAATCATGTCAAAACGAATCAATATATGACAGCGTTCTTTATTGATTTCCTGAAAAATTCGACTAGACATGACATTTATTTAAAAACGCCTTTGTCTTAAATGTTTGTTTTTTTTTTCTCTCTTTCATCCACTTTAGGGGAGTTTATAAAGGCTCTGTATGAGTCTGATGAGAACTGTGAGGTGGACCCTTCCAAATGTTCATCTAGTGATCTACTCGAACATCAGAGCAACCTCAGGATGTGCTGTGAGCTGGCCTTCTGCAAGATCATTGAGTCTTACCGGTAACTACAGTATGTCCTTCACAGCTGGCTGTTGGTCTGAACCAGTGATGGATTTTATTGCTCAGATGTCACTTTTTCTCTGTGTTTCTGTTAAGTATCAACTTGTTCTCAGGTGTTTCTCCTAAAGTTAAAAAAAAAGAAAAAAGAAAGAAACTGAAGAGACAGTATATGATAGGAGTATAGAGGTATAAAATGAAGTATGAGAATTAAGAGTAATTATTATTATTAAAGTACCAATACAATAACATCCAGTTATACACTGATAACCTTTGATTATGGTGATTCAAGTAATTGGTTTGGAAGTATGTTGTATAATACAATTCTTTTGCATTATAAAAATAACAGAAGTGATACTCAATACAACACTTTTAGAGTTGATTCAACAATCAACTGAAGTACAGTTTCAGTCACTGAGATCTAATACTCTGTATTTCAACATATAAAGAATAATAGTTTTATATAAAAAAAAATTATAGAAAGTTTTTTTCCCTCAGGAGTTGTTTGCAAAAGGATAATAAATAGTTTGTGAATTACTTGCCAGTAAGAATAACTGTTTATAGTTGTGTCAGGTTAATTTGTTTCCATCTAAATTCCATGTTCAACTCTCAATTCCTCAACAGTGTGTTTCCAAGGGAACTTAAAGAAGTGTTTGCATCGTGGAGACAGGAATGTGGTAACAGAGGGCGACCAGATATCAGCGAGCGTCTTATCAGCGCCTCATTGTTTTTGCGTTTTCTCTGTCCGGCCATCATGTCGCCTTCTCTCTTCAACTTGACGCAGGAGTACCCAGACGACCGCACTGCACGCACACTCACTCTTATCGCCAAGGTTACACAGAACCTTGCAAACTTCACCAAGTAAGGATTTTATTTACTCCATTGTGTGTGTGTGTGTGTGTGTGTGTGTGTGATTGGCTAGGGAGATAGTTTTTTTAAGGTTTCATGATGGAGCTGAGGCATGAGACTGTGATAGCTTTTTCATGTTTTTCTGAGCAAAACACTATTCATGAATGAAATTCAGTTAATAGATGTAATTATGATTGTGGGGTCATTAGCATTGAGTTAATAAATGCATCAAGTCATTCTTGTTCTCACTTTCTGTTAGGTTTGGTAACAAGGAGGAGTACATGTCCTTCATGAATCAGTTCTTAGAACAGGAGTGGACCAACATGCAGCGCTTCCTGCTGGAGATCTCCAACCCAGAGACCATCTCAAATACAGCAGGCTTCGAGGGGTATATTGACCTGGGCCGTGAGCTCTCCACCCTGCACTCGCTGCTAGCTGAGGTGGTGTCCCAAATGGATCAGGTTAGCAGGGTTCCCGCGGGTCCTTAAAAAGTCTTAAAATGTCTTAAATTAGATATTTAAAATTTATGGCCATTAAAAGTCTTATAAAGTCTTATTTTTAGGTATGAAAGGTCTTAAATTTTAGATGACACTTCGACTCAGTCATATCTTAATGTTTTCCAAATTAAAACCATCTAATTTGCGTACGTATTAATTTTTATCTTTGTGGATTTGCTTGTTCACGTGACAATTCGCGTCACATTCGCGGCAGAATAACGTCCATCTCCTGCACGCGAGACAGGAGAGGAGGAGAGAAGAAAGTTGGCAAATGTCAGTTAAGTCGTAAGTTAATTCTTTATGTGCGTAGAGGTGTGCGATGTGTATTGTCTATTATGATACTCTATTCTTTTAACGATGGACGAGGCACTGTGAGTGTGAGCTGACATCGCATTTGTCTCTCGTGTTTTCACGGCGTGATGTGTGCAGTTATAGGCATAGACATGTATTTATTATGGTTATAGGTATGTCCCCAAATTAGTTTTTGGCTTATATTTATATCATGTTGTTATATTAGAATATCACATCAGTAAGAGTGCCGTTTTCCCGTGCACAAGTGTGATATTTATGTTATACAATAGTTAAATTAAAAATAAAGTGACATTGTGAGTTAGTTTTTAGCCATAACATTATCGATATTGTTTGTTTTCCCTTTATTTCGCCGACTAGAATTTCTAAATGAAACCATAGCAGAGTCTCAATGCAACAGACAGCGATGATTTCTTGAAGGAAATCCGCGTCTTGAACGATCGAGTCATTTTAACGATTCAATCACTTGCTTCTTTCCCGTTTGAACAAATCGGTTGAATGAATGACTCCCTCAACTCGCTTATTAAGACAGCGATTTGCCGCCGCCTACTGGCGGTTTTAGTTTCATATTAAAAGTAAAAAATTAGAAATCATTTCACATTTAAATATTGAATATTGATTTTTTTTAAAAAACCTTATAGCTTGATTTATGCAATTGTAATTGGAGTGTATATATTAATCCCACTTCTAAGGCTGCTTCTGCGTCTACTCTGCACTGCAAAGATGGATTTTTGATTGAATGATTTAATTAGACTGCTAACAGTGGTACTGTATAATTATTGTGTAATGAAATATTATTGTATAAATAAGTATAATTACTGTATATATGTGATGCACGTGATGCATAACTCTAAATAAGTTTAGAAAAAAAAATCTCCATAAATAGGTGAAAATGCCCTGGAAATCAATTTAAGGTGGCAAATATTGCACATTAATTAATAATTTCTGTCACTGCTGTGAACTGACCACTGCATAGAATATGAAAAATGTAAATATCTCCGCGAGTCTGCTGTCAACAACAGGCCTAAACCAGCCATGGCACCAGCACAAAAACACAATCAGTAAAATATCAACTAATTATTGTTGATAAAAATTAGTTGATATTTTACTGATTTTGTTTTTGTTTTGTGTTTATCAACAAAACGTGAAAATATCGAGATATATTTTTGTCAATATCGCACACCCCTAATGTATGGTATTAATTTTGATTTCTTCAGGTCTTAAAAAGGTCTTAAAAAGCCTTAAATTTTACTTTAAAAAGTGTGCAGGAACCCTGGTTAGTCTTTTCACCCTTAAGTCAGCTCCATTTGATTATTTTTGTATTGTCAAGATTTTCAGTTCGAGTGTGTTGTGCTCCTTCACTTCAGACATTCAAAAACACAGATTTTTTTATTTATTTTTTTTTAATCAGTCTTGTTTCACAGTGAAAATGTGTTAAAGAAAACAACAAAACAGATTGTATCATTCATTTATGTCATGGGCAAAAACATATCTCACGCCATTTTTCTAAAGTAAATGTTTAAATCTAATATAAATACTTTTTAGCTGCTGATTTAGCTGTACATATTTGCATGTACGTAAAACAATTTAACAAGTGAACAAACTGAACATTGGACAAACTAAAAACAATGAGTCCATCAACAAAAGTATCAGTCACTATATGGTGTGACACCAGCTTCTTTAAGGTATACAGTTCATCTCATCCTCATGGACTGCAGCAGATTTGTCAGTTCTTGCTGTGAGATGTTATTCCACTCCACCAATGGCACTTGCAAGTTGTTGAACATGTCTGGTGAGGACATGTGGTTTGGCAATATAAGTACAAGAACGATCAACCTTCCTGTCCCCTTTTAGCACTGTCTAAGGGTTCTTACATTATGAACATTGCAGTTTATTGCTCTGTTCACATCTGCAGTCCTCATGTATCCTGCAGCAGGTCTACGGCTGGTTCACGGAGGTGATCTGGGACCCTGTGAATCTTTCTCCTGTTGTTTTTCAGAGTCAGTAGAAAGCTCTATTTAGTTATTGGAACTGTGGCATTAATTGTCTGCTGCCTGTAAACGGTTTGTGTCACAAGAACTGTTCCACTGGTGCATTGACAATCATTGAAAAAGCATTAAAAACATTGTTTAATCCCTTCCCAATAAAGATCTGTAAAACTTATTTTGATTTTGTACAACATTATCTTTAAAAACACTATATCCTGAAAAGAGGACATTTCTCTTTTCTTTGTTTTTTTGTTCTTTTAATATATATTATAAGAATATATTACATCCTCTTAAAAATGTAGTATTTTTAATTTATTTTTCTCCTGGGAAACAGGTTAAAATACTGATTAAGAAAATATTTTTTTCTTCATTTTTGGTGTTCTTTGAGTAGGTGGACTGGTGTGAGCAATTGCCTTCAGGCTGTAACAGTCAGGCTTTAAAATCCTTCGTTTTGTTGCTTTTAATGTTCAGACCTCAAAAGATGTGTTCACCACATATTTATTTCTTTATATCTTAATTTCTACATATTTTTAATCGAAATTATCTTCTAATCCTCCTCCTCCTCAAATGCTAATTATAAACTAGTTTTTGTATTTGCCCAGATTTTCCACTCTTAGAGAAAACTTCCAGTCTTGCAAAATGTGTTTGAGCAAAGACACATCTTGCTGCTCACCTGTGTCTGTATGCCAGTGCAGCACCAACACTGGATGCACCATTTACATTTAAATCATTACATGATTTATTTATTTTTTATCCAAAGCAACTTTAAATGAATTCAAGCTATTATGTACATTTTGTGATTGACTGTGTTCCCTAGGAATCAAACCTGTGACCTTGCCATTGTTAGTGCCATGCTCTACCAATTCAGCTCCAGGAACTCATTTCAATGCAGTCATTGATGTTCTGTTATCTTCTACTTACTTTCTCAAGGCTGATGGGCTATATGCACGCATAAGTTCCGCATTTGACGCAAGGATGCTCGTCCATTTCCGGTTGTGGAGGTTTAAACAGAGGAGAACCGAGGAAAACAGGATTATGGCAGAGTCTTCAAAATTTACTGTCCTTCCGTCTTTTAAACGAAACGTACATACGTTTAGATGTAATTTTATATATAGTTATGTTTATTTAATATAATTTTAAAAAGAAGCATAAACACAAGGAGGTGTGTCTGTTTTATCTGTTTTTGTGACTAACGTTTCTTTATTATAACCATGGAGTATAAAATTCAATATAAATTCTCGGTATTGCATTGGACTCTACGATCGGCGGAAGTTATCGAGCATCCTTAATCCTTCACCGGAAATGCCGCCGTGCATAGAGCCCATAGAGAGTCCTGCACAGATATAAGAGCTCTTTGGGGTATTTGTTAATTAATCTTTCATCCATGTCCTTAGAGTGCTGCCTCCAAGCTTGGACCATTACCTAGAATATTGCGGGACGTACATGGAGCGTTAACAAACCCACCGAACACACAGATGAATGTTCCCTCTGATCGTGTGCCCTCCCCTCCAGCCCCTGGATGCAGCATCTCCACTGGATTACAAAAGATGTCCATCGACAGTGACCTACCAGGGTAAGCAGAATTAATCAGCCTTCATCAAATTTGTTAACAGTGTTTACGTAATTGTAGATGGCTGTGGAAAAAAATAAAAAGATGGCTGTAGATGTCATAATGGATAGCTGTTCTGACAAATCAACCAATCATCTTCAAGCTCAGTGTTATATCAGGCAATGACACTGCAATTTTGAACTCGTCGTTATCTGTCGCTTTCAGCCATTAAGACCGTCCTCATTCCTGATCTTAAGAGTGTGCCCTCACTTTATCCAGCAGACTGCTCTTCTAAAGAGAGCGGCTCATCTTTATCTGTCTAGCTCGCTGCTAATTCCCAACCGACATTTATGAGAGCCAGAGAGAATGAGAGGCCTGTAATTGTATTTCACACACAAACGCACACACACTCACATTCAGAGAAAGGGAAGATAAATATGTTGGGGGATCAAAAGAGATGGAGGCTGTGAGGAGAAATCATAGAGTGGAGCTTGTTGGTTGGTGTCTGGTCGGAGAGTATGATGAAATAAATTAGCATTTTTTTTTGCAGATATCCAGACAATAAACAGTCTGGGTGGAAGTAAAGACCGAAAGGGACGCATAATAACCTTGCATTCTCTCTGATGTTTTATACCTTTTTAGTGCTGTCTAATATGGCATTTATAAGTGTTTGAAAAAGAATTACAGTTTCTGTTTCTCAAACACTTGCTACTATATTAGGAGAGTCTAATGATTGCTCGAGATTGAGATGCTGTTCCAAAAGGTTGGCAGCAAGATTATGCTGCCTTCTAAGATACTATCTTGGACAGCAGCACATGCATCCTTTGCAGATACAATCTCAGAATGCATTACTGTAAGCTCTATGACGTTTGAAAATTATGTCAATGAATAAGAATAGGAATATGAACAAAGTTTCTGAAAAAGAACAACGAGGATGCTGCCTTTGGGAGACAACAAGGTAGCATACTAAGATTGTCTTCTTTAAATTGATTGCTGTTTATGTACAGTTTCTCTGTCCTATACTGTACATGCTTAGTTATTAATTTTTCCCTTTCTGGTCCATATCTCCATCTCTTCGCTTTACTAGCCCGGCGGACTTCACTCGCCTCCCTTCCCCCACTCCTGAAAACAAAGACCTCTTCTTCGTCACACGCTCTTCCGGCCTCCAGGGCTCCCCTGCCCGCAGCTCTAGTTACTCTGAGTCCAATGAACCCGAGCTGGGCCTGGCCAACGGTGGCAAGAGCCTGTCCATGGTAGACCTCCAGGAAGCGGCCAGGGCGTTAGAACCCATCGCCATCCCGGTAGGGATAACTTCAGAAGGTTTAGGTGAGGGTACCATGGTTCCCTGGAATGCACGGACTCCCCAAGGCAACATTGCCGGAGCCCCTACTCTTCACAGGCCAGGACAGACTCCCACTACCCCAGGAGCAGAAGGGGCCCCAGGCAGGCCTACACAGCTCTTGGCCCCACTGTCCTTTCAGAATCCGGTGTACCAGATGGCAGCAGGGTTGCCTGTGTCAGCTAGAGGGAATGCGAGTGGGGATTCTGGGTCGGAGTGTCATAGCTCCGTCAGTTCCCATAGTAACAACGAAGAGGGTCTTGGAGCAACCAAGCACACCTTTCTTACCCAGGGGGCTTCAGTGGGGGAGGAGTTTGTGAGACGTTCGGGAGATTTCTCAAGACGACAACTATCGCTAACTGACGCGCAGCACGGAAACCAGCCTATGGTTCCACGACAGAGCAGCTCCGGTCCCCAGCGGCGTATTGACCAGCCGCCTCCACCCACACAGACTGCACCCAGAGGACGAACTCCACCCAACCTATTGAACTCCACCCCCTACCCACGGCCTTCTAATAACACTTTGATGTCAGCTTCACCAGATTGGCCTGGAAGTGGCGCAAGACTTCGACAGCAGAGCTCCTCCTCCAAAGGGGACAGTCCGGAAGCAAAACATCGTGGACCACATAAACAAGTGCGTACATGTTTGCTAGCATATAAAGTATTGTATGTGGAATTAAAAATAGACACTATGCTAATGTTTACACATTTCTTTGTATGTTTTTTTGTAACATTTAAAGTCACCATTTGACAGATCTTATTTTTGTGGAATATTGCCTTGTTATTATTGTAAATGATTTAGTCGTGCAGCTCATGATTTTTTTTTTATTCAATATCTTTAATCAAAAACATTAAGATGCCCTCTCCCTCGCAACAACATCTTTTCCCTGATGACGTCTACACTGGCACGAGTGCTGGGCAATAATCCCTCCACTCCAGCAACCTGACAGCAAACATTAATAAACAACAACTATCCAGTCAGTCCAGGACAAAATCAAATATACTTTGCGATCCGCTAGTTAAGGCTGACTTCAGCGTTTCCAGGTCCGAACGCTCTATCAGATGCCAAAAGCAAACAACAAATTGTGCTAATATACACTCGCTGTGTAAACGAACCAAAAAATCATGAACTTAACCTTTATGTCCATAGCAAAATCTCAGATGGCCAGAGAGAGTGATTCATCCTTTAGAAATCATCAAAATAGACTGCTGTGTATACAGTGAGATTTTAAATGCTTAGCTTAAATGTGTGGTGTGAATAAACAGTGCTTATAAATGGTTGTTGAGATGGTATCCTCAGTTGAAATGAGTAGAGGCTTGAATCACAACAAGTGGCTAGGAAAGAAAAGACGACCACAATTTCATGTAGACTTTTACATCTGTCTGTGATCTGGATCATTTATTATATATATGAATCTAAACTTAACCTAGTAGTATAGTACATCTTTGCAGCAGGTCTGAGTTATTGATTCTAATAATAATCAAAGGACATAGCTTGCTACCAATCATCAGCCTTTCGAAATTCACTGTTGCCACAGGCAGTCATTTTTCTCAACAGTTTGACAGTGAAGTGGACAGGAAGGGTATTTCCCAAATCCACAATGCATTGTTCTCTCTCTTGAGAATTGATCGATTGCCTGAAGTGATTGATGGAAGCGTGTCTATGGAAACCACATGTGCGCACACTTTTATTACATCGCAAAGCACCTCCAGGCACTTTCTCTGACTGTGAAAGTGACATCTGTGGACTTGAATACCGTGGTTGATTATAGAATCCATTACATTATACCTTGGCAGAAGGATTCACATCTTCCATAAGACTGAACTATTAGAACTATTATTTTTATTACCTCATCGACAAAATTAGAAAAAAGCCAGTTTGAAAGCTAATGACATTGAAAATGAGCTGCCATGTTGATGGTCTCTTGACTCAGGTAAACTCTGCCATTTTTTATTACCACTCCTTGAGCCCCTTGAAACGTACATTTGAGTGAAATGGGTTATCGAAAAATAGAAATTTCGCTGAACATCTTTATTATCACATTATTAGCCCTTTAAATTAATAATGACATACAGTCCCATAAATAATAGGCACTATGGGACTTGTCAAAGAGAAATCTTGACATTTTAAATAAAAATAATATGTTTAATATTTTCCCGCCAGCATTTTTTTTTTTTTTTAAGTTGCCAGCATTTTTGATCATTTTTAAAAAAAGTTTCATGGCTCCCAGAATATTTTGTTGTATAAATATCTGAATTTGCAATATATTAAAAGAGTGAGCAGACTTAAAAAAAAAAAAAATCTAGCTTGATGCGTTCCTTTTTAATCAACTCTTAAATGTGGGTAAGTTTCATTAAGAAGTAACATTTTGAGCAAAAAGCTGAGAAACATTTTTGTCAAAGACTACCGTGCATCCAGATCGAATTCAGAACGATGATATAGTTGAGGAATATAATGGAAATTGTGTGATGTCATCGTAAACAGTTAGTATGAACTTAGTTTATGAAATATAGCCACTAAAATGACCTCTCATTTTGTATTCAAACTCAGCACGTTATTATGGCTAATCGTGCTCATATTTCATACATGTTCTTTCTATTCAGCCTCACATCATGTTAAGTGTCATCATGTCTGCTTGTCTATGTTGTCTGTTGGAAATGCGATGCCCCTGGCATGACTTCTTTGTGTGAGTGTGTATGTTTCATGTTCAGTTTATTCATGCGTTTGTGTGTGTGTGTCCCATAGGCCCCGTCCCCAGTGAACCCTAGTGCATTGGACCGTACTGCTGCCTGGTTGATGAATGTGCCATATATAGAGCAGGAGTCTGAGACGGAGCTTTGCAGAGATGAGCACACACAAGCTGAAAAGGTAACTGACCACCCCCACACACAGCAGCAGAGATGAGATTTCAACTCATGCAAACACACTCTGGATAGGAAATGAATCATCATCCTGCAGTAATTTTACTCAGACACGAGGATTCTCTCAGTGTCAGTGATCCGACTTGAGTTAGGTGTTTCTAAATGCACAGTTAAGGGTGAAATGTGTAGTTTTTTACGGTAAAATTCCAGTTTAATAAGCAGAAACTAAGTCAACCTGTAAATCTGTAGGTTGACCTCCTCAAGAGCTTGTGATACATTCAACATTGCTCTTTTTCAACAATGGCAGATAGGGAAGAGGTTGTAGGATTGATTGCAGCTCCATTTGGTGCCACTAGTGTGTGGTGCAGAAATTTCACAGTTCTTTGAATTAATGTCTATGAGTGCTCCCAGACTTGTGTATGTGAGAGAGTGAGAAAGAGACATAATAGCCTTTCATATAAAATGAAAATAGCAGAGTGACTGCCTATGTTCCACAACAGTCACAGGATGCAAGAAATGGACAAGATGGACAGATGGATAAGGAGGACTGCAAAAAAGGAAGCAGGCTATTATGTCTCGTTAAGAGTATATATATATATATACTCTTATAGTATTTATATATATTGTAATGAGCTTTTATTTAGATATTTTCACAATAATATTAAAATATAAATAATATTAAATATAATATTAAAATATTCACAATGGATATTTTCATTTTGTTGTGCTTTTATCATTTTGTTTCGTTTAGTTGTTTTTAAATATTCATATTCAGGTTTAATTTATTTTTATTTCAGTTGTAGTTTTGGTCATTTTTGTACTTAAGTAAATTTTATTTTAGTAAGTTGAAAGGCAGCATTTCTAATATTCTAAGTTTATTTTTCATTTAATATCTATGTATTTTTTCAGCTTTATTGCAGTTGCTGAAAAAACGATTTGTAATTGGTTTAGTAAACAATACCAACACATTTAGTAACCTCAGACTAAACCAAGAATTGATTCCAACAGAGTTTGTCATTAGCATGTTGCAGACTTTTACAGCATTTATTAATCTGCATGGAAGGTAATGTTAATTTCTACATTTATTAATACATTATTGAACATTGCAAGTTGTATAAATTAACATTAGTTAATGTATTATGAATTAACAATGAATAAAAGGATATTTATAAATTAACGTGTTGTAAAAAATGTATGATTATGACACTTCATGCAATAACTAATGTTACAATAGTGTACAAAAGGCACCCCACATATAGGGTACAGGGATTTTTTTTCTTTGTGTGACTCATTTAGTGCAGTCTGCAGCTTATAATGAGGCTCAACATGAAAGACATAAAGATCCGTCTCTTGCAGTATCAGGCAGAGATCAGTGTGCTGCAGGAGCGGCTGCGTGTGTCGGTGCAGAGGCTGGAGGAATACGAGGCCCGGCTGAAGGGACAGGAGGAACAGGCGCAGAAGATGCTGCTGGAGTATCAGGCCCGGCTGGACGAGTCGGAGGAGAGATTGAGACGGCAACAGGAAGACAAAGATCTGCAGATGAAGGGCATCATAAGCAGGTTGGGGTTTGTATTATGAAAAGAGACTAAACCAGAAGAAAGGCAGGCAAAAACTTCCAGAGAACTCTGATTGGATGATTACACTGTCAATATCAAGTTCACAACCATTACACATAATTGGCCTGAATGGGTAAAACTGGTGGAAATGGATGAACACAAATGCCATTTTTCATATAGTCATTGAGTCGGATAAAAGGAAACTTAACTGACTGAGTTAGAGCATGAATTTACTTTGAACAAGCCCAGAGAGGGCACTTTACCTTTCAGAAGTCCACTACACGCCTCTGATGCCGAGTGTCATTTTGCTTTCAGCTGATAGCGTATTAGTGGCGATCTGAGAAGACAGAGAGCTTTTAGAGACTTTCAGCTTTCCTCAAGGCAGAATTTACCGCGAGCTGCTTTCCCCCAAGACTGATGTTACGGACCCGCTTGTTGTGGCCTTGAACTCCAGATCAAAGACAGAATGGGAGGATACAGTATATGAAGCTGCATGGACACTCAGTAGATGTTTGTTTTGTGTTGATTCAGGTTGATGTCTGTGGAAGAAGAGCTGAAGAAGGATCATTCTGATATGCAGGCAGTGGTTGACTCCAAACAGAAGATCATTGATGCGCAGGTATGTCTATACCAGACTTAAAATCTTGCTCCCAAACTATTTTCTAAATGATTAAAAATTTTTATGTAGTATTTTATGTTAACCTTTCAATAAATCACATTTTGGGTTGTCACCACACCAACATTTCAGTAGTTGACACAATACCAGTAAAATGACTAATTTAGAATAATTAGTTGAATAAAGCATGTTAATGAACCAAGAAATACAAAATTAGCGGTGAGTAGTTTCCTCTTTCTTTTTCACTATCCTTGTATGAAAGATATATAAAAAGGCAGAATTATTAAATTAGACCAGTGTCTATAATATCTTTTAATGTTTTTGAAAGAAGTTTCTATTTTTTCTATTTTCTATTTATTTAGTTAAAATTCTGTATTGTAATATTATTACAATTTCAAATAACTGTTTTCGACTTTTAAATGTAATGTATTCCTGTGATGGCATTCCGGTGTCACACGATCCTTCAAAAATCATTCTGATATGCTGATTTGCTGCTCAAGAAATGTTTCGTATCATTATCATTTATAAAAACAGATATGCTGCTTAATATTTGTGGAAACTGTGATATCATTTTGTCAATATTCTTTTCTTTTGCTCAATTTAATGCATCCCTGCTGAATGAAAGTATTCAATTCTTTCAATCAAAATCTTTTTAACCCCAAACATTTGAACAGTAGTGCATATTTGGCAATTCAATTTCACGATCTCACACACCCTGTCGTTCAATAAAAACCTATGGGAAGGGAAACTACACGTATTTTTCTAAAGAAACAAATGCTTTTGTTAAACGAAATGTACAGTAAGTGTTGCTGACAGAAGGTGCATCATTAATAATCATCATCATTCATGTTAATATTCACTGTCCCACAGTGAGGGCTGATTACAAATATTCATATATAGAAATAATACAGTATATATAGACTTCCTAATACTACAATTCATGGATATATGCATAGGCATTTTATGTATGTTTTCCAAGGAAACCAGCTGGTTTGTTTCTTCTCTTTTTATGTACATGTGTTAGGAGAGAAACAAGCAATTAAACACTTGAGTGTGAGTGTCACCACAAATAACATCACAGCTGTGATTTGGTCACAGACATGCGCCAGATCGTCACAGTCGTGATGTTATTTGCGATTATCCTCCAACACAGTTTTATCACTGATTTACAATCAGTTTTGCTGAGTAAAACAAATCATCAATCCCTTTTCCCAAAAATTAGAGGCTCTCAACCTGTTTTCTTTGAACAAAATGATCAACATACAGCTGTTATTGGACAACATGGGTGAACATGGTTTCTCAGCTATTCACATCGAGTGTTCAGGCTTTGCTTGGCTTGAGATTGACTAAACTTAATATCTTATGCATACTCATATTCAGTAAAAAAAAATGCACAATTATACACTCACTTACATAGGCAGCAGAGCTGAACTTAATAGAGAACCAAAAAGCTGATATCCAAAGAGTCCCTGAAATTGTTCACCAGGGCACGTTTATTTTCTCCCACTCTCTACTTGTTACCATCCAAACAATTACTTTGTACCTGCTGAAATTGCTGGTGTTGGTATTTTCATAGGATTTACGAATTTCACTCTCTGCAGGAGAAACGGATAGCATCTCTGGACGCGGCTAACGCGAGGCTAATGAGCGCCCTGTCCCAGCTGAAAGAGCGCTACAGCATGCAGACGAGGAACGGCATCTCTCCCACCAACCCCACCAAACTGCAGATCACAGAAAACGGGGAGTTTCGCAACAGCTCCAATTGCTGAACACAATGAAGACAGAGGACATGAGCAGGTGTGCAGAGATTCTGTAAGTGAACACTGAGAGAACCGCTTGGCAAAGCCATTGTTTGGAAATGTGGAGAAAGATCCACTGTAAACATCCACCGGTGAGACTACTGTTCAAGTACTTCATGTTAGGACACACCACTAGACTTTCATTCGTGTTTCACTATAGCTAACTGTAAAATATAAAAGAAAAAACAATACAGCTGACTTGGTGACATTATACAGATATTAAAAAAGTCGTATTACAGCTTTAAAAAATGGTGTTTTCATACAGCCTTTAAAAAAAGAAACTTTATTTATAGTAGTCTCTACTTTAATAAGACATGACTGAAACTGTGGAGAATTTAGCGCTCTCCTCCATATTAGATCACTTTCTGTTTCTCCCTACATAGTGCACTTTGTCTCTCCATCATGAGAAGCCTTAAAATGTTGCATCTGAAATATGTTTTTTATTTTTATTTTTTACAGTTCAGATGAACATTATAATAGATTATAATGTGCATAGATTTTAAAAAGTATATATTTTACATTTCTCCATTAACAAGTTTTCTGATTTTTAATCTTGACAAAAATGTTTGTAACAAACATTACAAGTGTCAATTTTGGTCCAATTTTAGATATGCCAATATTTTGAATCAGCACAAACTGCTCGGATGGAGCAGAGAGAATGTTTTGGACACTACAGTAGACCAATTTTAATTTGAAGTTTTTGAAAACTGCCTTGTTTAATCTTGTGTTTTCTTCCTACAATGTTTGGGAGAGTTTTGCATTTTTTCTTCATTGTTTTTTTTAAGCCTTTTTAATTCTTTTGTTCATGTGTGTTTACTTTTATGTGTTGCCTCATCGGTCCAAATTGCTGCACACTTTCATTTGGCTCATTTAGAGTTTGTATATTTTTGTATTTAATATTGTATGCGAGAACTCTTCTGCATTTATCATGTTCGGCACTGAGGTGCAGCATGGAGCTGCTGTGTTCCTTTAACTTGTTGGTCTTTGAGGAAGTTAGACACAAGACGCGTCTAGATTTTGTTGCAAAAATATACAGAAACATATTATGGGACATGTAAGATAGAGATGTTATTTTTAAGGGAAAATGTCTCTGGATATGAGCTCTAATGGAGTAATATGTGAATAAGTTAAAATTACATATATATAAAGCAACGTTCATGGTTACTCTAGTGTGAATGGCCGTGTTACATGTCTGAAATGTGAGATCAGATTGAGAGGCAACAATCTAACAAGCACAAACCATCGCCCCAGCTTCTCAAATGCGTTGAAGACTATGCACTTTTCCCCTTTGTCGTGTCCACTTGGGTTTACTTCACTCCATGAACATGTAGCAAACTCAAGGTGCTCCTTGTTATTATTAATCCAGGGAGGCTCTGATTTGTCATTAGTTATATTTGTAGCATTATCATTCGTAGCATTGTAGCCGAACGCTAAATCCTTCAACTCAAACAAATGTGCACATGCAGTGTAATGCCATGGAACTAACAATTGGACTGTGTTAGATACCTCAACCTGTCAAATGTTTTTTTGATGCCCTGGTAAAGTAGTTTTGCATGTACTGAATGCTTCAGCACTGTCTAAATAAGGCAGATCAGTGTCTAGGGTCATTTAAAATGCATTTGATCAACTTTTAAACTCGGCTAGGGGCTCGTGTTGTTGCACAAAAGAGAACCAATATTTATTTTTCTCATAGACTCAGCTGTCAACTTCTCAGTTTGTTCATGCTCTGCTTTTAATGAGGTTGGATTTTTTGCAGAGTCATTGTGTCTATTTTCATCCACATGGGAAGCTACTAGGGAGTCAAAAAATAGTTCTTTAGAAAATTATTAAATAAAAGTTGTTTGCTGTCGTCTCAGTTCTTTTCATCAGATGTGTCTTTATCTGGCTTCAGGTCAGTTCTCAAAGTTTAGGAAAGTTTTGCAAGTAAAACTATTTGCGCATCCTTTTTTTTTTTCAAGCAGTCAATGTGAAATAGTAGCTATGTGAAATAAATGATATAAAGAGAAAATATATAAAATCTATAAATGAGTACCTAAAATATGTTGTATGTTTTATAATCCTTGTAGAAAAGATTTTTTGTAAGTATGTTTAAAGTAAAGTATTGGCTGGACCCTTGCCTTGTTTTAGAACAATGACAAGAATAATAATGTACAGAGAAATGTGTCCATGTTAAGAACTATACAATTGTGGCTGTGCAATTTATGTACATTTGCAACTAGAATAATTAAAGTTTTATTTAGTTATTTCATATCCCTGCTTTGTTGTCTTCATTACTGAATCATTCACTTGACAAGCATAATGCCACAATCATAAAATGTGGTTTGTTTTTTTTCTGAACCCAAAGTATGACGTTACATCAGCCAACTATTGGTTTGTCAAAATGTATCGCATTTAAAAAATCTTACCAATCCCACACTTTGGAAAGGGTGTATGTGTGTGTATATACTGAGAACAACTGAAGAAATATAATGAAACCATACTGTATATTGTTTGAAATCCAATGTTTATTCATGACCATAAAAGGTGCATCTCAGTTAAGCCTAATGTATATATGTAGATGCGTGCAGCTGCAATGTGATATTAAATGATCTGTGTAAATATGTGCTGATCCTGTGAGATGTCCTCTTGCATTAAACCACAGCAAACCCCTTTTTCCCTTCTATCATAATTTCTACATGCAGTTCATTAAATTACTTGTTTAAGTGAAAAACAATAAATAATAAATCTCTATGGGTATAAATAAAACACAACTTCGTAAACTTTGGGTGCACTTGGTGCCATGCCTGGTGTTAACAGCATTCCCTAACGAAAGGCCACCGTGTTGTTCTGCCTATTTAAAGGTGGCCATTTGAGATTATTAGCTGCTTTTCTGAAGTGAAGTGGTGATAGGACAGCATCCCTTCCCTTTAAGAAACACTAAATCCCTGGGATAATTTCACAAGGATGCTTTGTCATCCCTGCAGTGATTGATTCACACAAATACTACCCACATTACCTGAAGGTAAGCATATAGGAGCAACGTGGCACAAGTCACATGCTCACACACTGTCCGCACATTTAGCACTGAAACAAGTGCCTGAGTGTTAGTGTACTGGCATCAGAACACATCTGTTACATTTTTTTTTGTGTAGTGTGTTGAAAGAAATATCTTTATCTGAGCTATGTATAAACAAGTCAACTTATAGCTATTGGACAAAGAATGAATCTATCCTGGCTTCTATATTTTATGATATTGGGTCCATTATTCTTGTTTATTTATTCAAAAGCACATGGCATTCCCCTCTGGACATTCCTCAGAAGTCATGGAACTGTTTGTATGTGTGAGATTGTCAGTTCTCTGTGTTTGCTTTAGCAGAGAGTTGCATCGGCTGTTGCCGTAGATGGTGTCGGCGTGTCACTGCTGGGGAACTGAACGTTTTTGGCGCTGATGATTGAGTTGGTTGTGACCGGTGTGGCCGTGGCTTCTCACTATGGCTCTGCCCCTCGAGCGCCCCCTCACACACCTCCAGCAGCAAGACCACCTGCTCCCGCAGGGGTACGGCCTTGAACCTGCGTGCTGCCAGGTAGAAGAAGGCCTCAATAAATGCCTGAAGACACATTCCTGAAAGAGAGAGAGAGAGCTTACTTTTATTAGATGCTCAAAATTAACAAATCGCTTCCTTAGTTAAAATATACAATCATGTGTCAAAGTCAAAAAGACAGATGGTTTAGTCAGAATAAACATTTACAGTATTGTGTATAATAATTATGAATAAATAGAATTAAATTCATTTACAAGGATATTGCGCAAAACGTGGGGTACTGCACAAGAGGGAAAAGGCCTTTGGGACCATCTTATGACAGTTGACATTTTGATGAAAAATTAAAGAAGTAAAAAATGAAACCTGCATGTATGAATCATTTACAATAAGATTAATACCATGCATTAAGAAAATAAGACTAACAACTTTGTGCCAACTTTGCTATAACTTCGTCACCCAAACATGTAACATATATAACAATGAAATTGGTTAAAAAAGAAATTTTGTTTGGTTTGTACAGATTATTACCAAATAATCTATACAAACCAAACAAGACAATGCATGTAATTTGTCATTTAAATAGTATACTGACAAGAGAATGGACAATTTGAGAAGAGTCATTAGTGACATTATTTCCTAGTTGTAAAAGGCTTTAATCAGAAGCGTACGTATTGCAGATTTTCCCTTCCGCTTGTTTATTAATTAATGGGGCTTCATCTGTGTATTATTTAGTGAATGTGGTTTCAGTAATATCTCCATGCTGATGAAAACTTAATCTATATTTATGTTCCTGCTAAAATAACTCCATCTGCGAGCACGCAAATCATCAGCAGTGAATTCTCAAGGTCACATCTGAGCCTGAGAGTCGAGGGAGAAAAACACACACACAGCTTTAATCTAAACAGAAACTTTGAACATTTTAAACATGAAGAAAGAGAGCCGTGAAATTCTCTCTGCACAAGACAGCGGAAAGACACTTGCTGTTAATACAAATATTCAGGTTCTCAGGAACCCTCAGGGGGTTTGAGCCTGAAGATGGATGCGGATCTCTTGTCAGACTACATATACTGAGCGTTAATGAGCCCTCACTGCGTACATGATGGAGCCGTGAAATACGTCTCGAAATAAAACAGAGGCTGCGTGCTGTGCTGGTCAGAAATATGTGTACATTGAGAATGGATGGCAACAGTTAATAAAGCAATGCTGTTTCCCAGAAGGAGAAAATGAGTTTCATTAAGCAGACAAATGAAGGAGCGCTTAAAGAACTCAGCATCATCCTGTCAAATGAAGCAGACTGAGCTCTGGGATGGATAGGAGCGAAGAGAGGAACTCAAAGACCGATAAATCCTTCCTCCTTTAAGTATTCTGTCCAAGTGTCCAGTCAGCATTCCTCAATAGTAAATGTATTACTATTAATGAAGATCACGGCAGCGCTATCTCTCCCTTTCCTCCTCGGGGATAAACAGTCTGACCCACCACCGCTTTTAAACAGCTACTACTATTATTTATAAATATCAACCTTATCCACCAGTTATTACTTTCTTCTCGCCACTGACACAGTTTGTCTTCTATGAGTGTGTGTGTGTGTGTGTTGATTTCCAACTGCAAGGCGCTAATGACCAAATTCAGAGCAACCTTCCGAAATTCAGCTCACGTCATTCCACTCTGGCCATTTAGGAGCTCAGAGACTCAAGTATATATTCAGTCTTTCTTTTGATTAGGAGAAGCAAGGCCTAGCATGAATTATTCATTTCATACGTTCCTCCAAGACAATGATGCTAGCATGACCTAACCTAATGCACCATCACAAGGAATATTACCAGTGCTCATTTAAAAGCAGAAATTACTTATGGGCACATTAGCTTTGGCACACACACACACACACACACACACACACGTACAATGTTCCCATTTACCAAAAGTATCTTTTCAATGTGAAAGCAAAAAAAAAAAAAAACATTAAAGAAATTAAAATATGAAAGATTGAGTCAGAGCTTGAAAATTTGGTTATGTGGCATTAGTTGATTGGCCATGTATTTTTCCAATTTACAAGTACTGGGCAAATGAACGAAGAAGTGAATTTATTTGTCAATTATCTCCCCTGACGATCTCATTTATGACTGCATGTGAGGGGAAATGCGCTATGATGAACGGTTGCAAATGCGTCTTTTATTGGAGGCTGTTTAACAGCTTTTTGATTGTGTGTCAGCCTCGGGAGTGAAGATATGCTGTAAATTGCATCATGATCGGTGGGCTGCTTGCCTGCTTCTCTGGAGTCGGGGAGCATTCCAGCCCAGCGGCGTGTGATGTCGATGTACAGGATGTCCACTGAAGCCATCGAGAAGCTGCTGTTACTCAGCTTGCAGTTCCTAAAGGAGACAGTACGTTGCCTTATTCTGACAAAATGAAACACTAAGAGGCTCTATGGATGCAGAATCGCGTCAATCAATGTAACGGTTGTGGTTAGATTAACATGTCTTCATTTGACAGATGTTGCTTTGAAGGTTAGAACCTTGGCTTTGCCACTGGCATCCTCTAACAGTCGAGATACAGGAACTATTGACTTGCCTGATGAAGGTTCGGAAACTGGTCGGCCCCAGTCTCATGGTTCCTTTGACACCAAGGAAGCGCAGGAAAATGGCAGCAATGCGTTCCACGACCCGCAAGTTATTAAACTGCTTGGTGTATTTGGGGAAGACTTGTTTTAAACACAAAGTTGGAAGAGAATCCATCAAGCCTTCTTTCTCATCACCTCTCGTCTCCGCAGCAATAGCGTCTTCTGGTGAACCGCCCCCCGTGTTTAACCTGTTGGCACAGAAACAAAGATTAAACTCAATACACACACAAAATCATTTTTGTAGACCTGAAACATTGGATATATATATATATATATATATATATATATATATATACACATTTATATATTTTCAATAAGTAACAGAAAAATTGATATAGCATTTAAAAAAGAAATATTAAAATACAATTGACAAATAATTTGTTTTTAAATTGTAATAATGAAAACTTTATAACCACGCTAGCTTTAACCATTTTAACTGGTGACCTATGCAATAAAATATATTGTACTAAGTTACTCTCTCTTTTTATATTTTGTCACATTTAAGAGACTAGATGAGGAAAAAAAGTCAAGGTCACGTAAGAAACAGCTTAACACGATTTTGTGATAACAGCATTACACAAAGAAAATCTGTCAAGTAGGAGAATGGAGGATTTCAAACCAAAAGAACTAAAAAAATATATAAAATAAAATAAAAAAATCCTCAGTGAACAGCATCACAAACCACAAGCCTTACAATTTTCTCTCATTAGACCCCCTCTTTCTCTCATTTACCCCTGGACAACATAATGAAAAACAATTATTTAACAATCACAAAACCAACAGAGCGAACTGCAGTCCTCTCATACGTGCACTGGGCCCAGATGGCCGAGGAACCAAAAGCAGTTTGTTGTGTGTAGATGACTGCATTTCAACGCTGATGTAAGTAACTCTGCACTTTTAATCTAAGTGTATGCGCTTCCATGGCTTCTAAACTGAAGGTTGTGGCTCGAGACTTAGGGTAAAAGTGCTAATGACACTGACATGACTTAACTAACACACTTAATAGGTTTACTTGAAGACTGGAGGAGTCTTCTCTCTCACATACTGTCACATTCTGCCTTCTTGTCCTTGATTTTCAGGATCATGACAGAATCATGTTTTGTGTGCAAGCG